GCTCGTTCCAGTTAGGCTTGTGCGTTCGCGGGCCCCTTCCACCCGCCCGCAGGTGTAGAACCTAGCGGGGTGGAGGGCTCGCGTTGGGCTCCCCTTAGTCGCTGCCCCGAGGGAACTGCCCGACGCCGGGTGGGTGGCTGAGAAGGCGAGGCCCAGGAACCTGGCAACTCAGTCCGCACTGGGCGTCCCCGAAGCGCGCTCGGGCTCGTGTCCTTGGCTCGCCTGCTCGCCCTAGGCCGCGCTCTGCATCCTAATCGTCTCCTTCAGAGCCCCCTCAGGAACCAAGGGGAGGAATTCTGCAGTTCCCACGCAGCCAGAATCCCTCCTCTGTCGCCTCGGGAACACCGCATCCCTCACCCCCAACAGAGAGCGCCACCACCGCACGCCGGTACCAGCCCTTCCCCAGTGGGTTCGGTGCCCTCACTGAGGGAATCCCACTCTGGGGGAAAGAGGGAGGAGGTTTTAGTTCATTTTCCGTATCCCACACAGTCTTGATACATGTCCGCATTGAAGTAGCAGGTTATGCTACTGTCGCTGCAAAATAGCAGCCAAACTTGTGCTAGAAAGTGCTTCACTCTGGCATTAAGATGGGGTGAGGGTGAGGGGTGGGGAATGAGGGCTGTTTTGTAGAATCCTGCTTGTCCCATAGGAGAAAAAGATTTTAATCCAACACCTATTCTTCAACCACAGAAAATCTACTTTGCTCATGTGGTCTGTACAAAGTCTAGGTCACGTCAAGATAAGGGGAATTTTACCAGTATGAGGAGGTTGTGCTGCTGAACAGGGGATGGGACCTTAGCATTGAATTCCAGAACAAAATACAAACATACTAGCTTTGCAGAATGAAGCCTTTGGCCAGTTTATGTGTTTGTCAATTGCTTTAAAAACCATCTCAATTGTTCCAAATGGTTCAGCCTCGGGACTCAAGATAAATTCCTTTAACAGATGCAAATCACAGTGCTTTACCTGGCTGAAAAAAATCAAGCATGGTCAAGTAAATTATTTCCAAGGAGTGGAAGCTGGCATGCAGTTTTGATACTTGGAAAAGGACCAAGAAAACCCTACAGGAAACAAATTCAAGTGTATGGCAGCGCATTCAGAGAATCAAGGTGGAAACTGGTTAGGTCGCAGGTTCGAGGCCTCACTGCACAGTTCGGGAATGAGAAAGGAGGGCTAGTCGTACTTCTCCCTCTGGGACCAGCTCTGCACCATTTCTTACCAATTCTTCTGCCTTACTTCATCTCTTCCAGCACCAAGAGAAGCACTGCAGGCAAAAGGAAGACTGGGGGTTTTTGGGTTTTTTTTGAAGTTTACTTTTTAAGACAGACAGGGATAGATAAGCACTCCCAACAAGGTTTTCACTCCGTGGCCCTACCCCCAGCCTCAGCCAGTCAGGCTTGTGTGTACCTGCACAGGGAGATCTTAGGAGGTGAACTCGGGACCATCCCATATGGCTTCAGCATGGCAGGGCACCACCACGGCTGGCCTGTTATCTTTTCAGCCTGGAAATTTTCCCAGGCAGTTTGGCTTTGCATCTGCTTATTTTGTTTATTTTTAAAAAATAATTATTAATTCTATAGGACCAGCAATTAGCGTAATGGCTATGTCGCTGGTCTCTCATGTAGTCGACCGCAGTTCGCGTCCTGGACCCAGTGGCTTAAAACACGCCGGGCGCGTGTGCGTGCATGCCCAAGATCCCGAGAGGAGAACGGAGAAGAAGGGATTGCGGCATGGCCATCCCCCCTGGGGGGGTGATTTCTCGCTTTCTGTCTCTCTGTCTGTCTCTGTCTGGCGAGCGCACGCGCCCTATAGCATAAACCTCTCTCAAAAAAAATAGTTATTAATTCTATTTATCATTATTCTGAAATTTGCTACTGGGCACATGCACTCACCAGAGAGAGAGAGACAGAGAACATGAGAAAGCAAGCCACCAGGTCCAGGACTCAAACCACAGTTGGCCATGTAGGAGTCCAATGCCTTAACCACCACACCACCTGCTAGCCCCCTGCTTATTTTGTTTTAATTATTTTATTTTTAAGGTTTTTACCATAGGGTGTGCATGCTCACAGGAGAGGAGTGAGAATGTGAAAAAGAGAACTGCCCTCCCAGGGGGTGTGGTCACGCCACAAGCCCTTCTCCTGCATTCTCCTCCTGGGATTTTGGACACACACAAACACACACCTAGCATGATTTTCAAGCCGCCAAGTCCAGGCCTCAGACCACAGTTAGCCATGTGAAAAAAACAAAACCCTAGACTATCTCCTTAAACTGAAATGCTGTAGTTTTTCTTTCTTTTTTTAATTTGCCAGAAGGCACCTGGCCTTTCTGGAGAGAGAGAGAAAGAACCTCCCATTGGGGATGGTCATGCCACAATTCCTCCTCAGTTTCACCTTTTGGGATTTTGGGCAACACGCAGGCATCTTACATATTTTTCTTTCTTTTTTTTTTAAGAGTTTTTTTGCGTATGCGCTCACCAGAAAGACAGAGAAAGACAGAGAGAAAGTGAGAAATCACCCCCTGGGGGGGATGGACACATCACAATCCCTTCGCCTCCATTCTTTTCTCGGGATTGGACACGCACTCACATGTGCTCGGCGTGAGTTTAAGCCACCGGGTCCGGGACTCGAACCGCAGTCAACTACATGGGAGTTCAGCGACATAGCCATTATGTCAACTGCTGGTCCCATCTTACATATTTTTCAAACTACTGAGTACAGGAACCAGCAGATGGTGTGTAATGGTTATGTCACTGGACTCCCATGTAGTCAACCACCGTTTGAGTCCCGGACCTGGTGGCTTAAAACACCAGGCGTGTATGCGTGTGTGCCCAAAATCCCAAGAGGAGAATAGAGAAGAGATTTCAGCATGGCCATCCCCCAAAGAATGATTTCTCGCTTTCTGTCTCTGTCTCTCTGGTGAGCACACACATTGTATAGCAAAAATCTCTCTTCAAAACAAAACAAAACAAAAAAAACTGCTTGCAAAAAAAACTGCTGCGTACAGGACTCGAACTGTGTTGTCAGTCATGTGGGATCCAACCACTTTAACCACCATGCCACTTGGTGGTCCCAGAATTGGTCCTTTTGTATATTATTATACCTACTATGCCCTTGGTTCCTCAACCTGTTGGTACTTCTGAAATGGATTGTTTACAAATTGCCAAAATTTATCATAAGCCCAACCTGCCTAAAGCAGAAATAATATAGTTTCTATTATGTAGAAATAAATTTGTATCCAATTTATCTTATGCATTGCATTGTACTTGTTTCTTAACAAGGTTTTACAAAAGAAAGAATAGGTTTTAGACATAGTCTAGTTTCCAGCAAGGATTACAGGCATATTCAAGCAATTGAGGCCAGGGAGAGAAAAGGCAGACTGGGATTCAGAAAGATGGGTGAGTTGATCAAAGAACTTCAAAGGCATCATAAAGGAGATCAGCTGGCAAAAGGCATGCAGGTTTAAAAAGCCAGCTGGACAGAAAAGGCCGGCAGAAAAAACTGACTTGCAAATGAGGCCCCAGCCAACTCCCGAGCCTCTTACCTCTCTCCTGTAACACATGGAGATTGCAAAAGGCAATGTGTCCCATATTTAGACTGCTCTGATCATTAAAGCATTCTCATTCTGGGCCCAATCCACTTGCCAATAGCTAACTTCTCTACATTGGCTTTTGGTTAGCTCTCTGCTACTCAGAACAGGTTTAATCCCTCTCCTATGTAAGATCCTTTGAGTATTTTAAGATATCCATTGTATGAAAAATCTCTGTTCCCAGCTGAAAACAGCTCAGTCCCTGCCCTGTTCCTCAAGCATGAGTCTGCAGTCCCTCAGCACCTTTGTCATCCAGTTCTGGAAGGAACATCCAACCATGAATACGAAAGTCTGAAGACGGTCTTGCGTGGAGTTGCCATTGCCCTCCTTGGTTCTGCCTCCTTCCTGCACTTTGTGGATTTATGCCAATGACTAAAAACTGAGTCTAGATACAAACTGTAGTCATGCTACGTCTCCGTGTGCATTTTAGCCTATCTTTAGAGTCTGCTCTGGTCTTTTGGAGTCATTACCTTTTTTTTTCCCCCTTAATTTTGCCATAGTGGGCATGAGCTCCCTAGAGAGAGACACAGAAAGAGAGAGGGGAGTAAGAAATTACCCCCAGAGAGGATGATCACACTGCAATCCCTTTTCCTCCATTTCTCCTCTTGGAGTTTTGGACTTGCACACACACACCTCCCGTGTGTTTTTCAAATGAACTGTGAAGTTGGCCATTTGGGATCCAGACACCTTCACCACCATGCCACTGACCAGCTCTGGAGTCTTCATCTTTAAACAATGTTTTAGCTATACATCCCAGCTTTGGGTTATGCACAAATTTAAAAAGCATAATGTCTCCTTGTCTGTCCA